ACTGTGCCACTAGTTTATGGCGCTAATGTGAGCAATTCAAGCGTTGGAGGTTTTTGCCTGGATGGAATTTTGATTCCGGAAAAGGTTTCGGGGAAAATTGTGGTATGCGATCGAGGGGGAAATGCGAGGGCGGAAAAAGGAGTGGTGGTTAAGGCTGCTGGTGGTGTAGGAATGGTTTTGGCGAACATTAATCCTTTCGGCGAAGAGCTAATCGCGGATGCGCATCTCTTACCTTCAGCAGCTGTTGGTGAGAAATCCGGAGATTCTATCAAGAAATATATATCTTCTGATCATAATCCAACAGCCACAATTGGTGCTGCAACCACAGAGTTAGGTGTTCAACCATCCCCCTTGGTTGCAGCATTCAGTTCGAGAGGTCCGAATCTGATCACTCCAGCTATACTTAAACCGGACCCGGAGTCGATATCCTTGCAGGGTGGACTGGTGAGGTTGGTCCAACCGGGTTAGAGATCGACAAAAGGCATGTAAACTTCAATATCATTTCGGGAACATCGATGTCATGCCCCCATGTTAGTGGTTTAGCTGCAATTGTCAAAGCTGCTCATCCCGAATGGAGTCCAGCAGCCATTAAATCCGCCCTCATGACCACTGCTTACACATCTTACAAAAATGGTGAAAAGATTAAAGATGTTGCCACAGGAGAGCCAGCAACACCGTTTGATTACGGTGCCGGCCATGTCGATCCAGTTGCAGCCCTCGACCCTGGCCTCGTCTATGATGCCACCACCGATGACTATCTCGGTTTTCTTTGTGCCGTGAACTACACACGAGAACAAATTAAGGGCACTACTCACATAGACTTTACTTGTGACACAAGCAAAAAGTACACCGTGGGAGATTTCAACTATCCATCCTTCTCCGTTCCCCTTGAAACTGCCTCGGGAACAAAGGGAGGCACCGGCGTCTCAAGCACCGTAAAGTATACAAGGATCCTTACGAATGTCGGTGCTCCTGCAACATACAAGGTTTCTTTGTATTCACAGACACAAGCAGTGAAAATCTCGGTCCAACCAGCAACACTAAGTTTCAGTGCACAATACGAGAAGAAGAGCTATACCGTGACATTCGGAGCTAGTTCTATGCCATCTGGTTCGACCAGCTTCGCACGTCTCGAATGGTCCGATGGAAAACACATTGTTGGTAGTCCAATAGCTTTCAGCTGGACATAATTGTATTAAAAAGTGCTTGGATTTAAAAGAAAAATCAAGAACAATGCTGGGAATAACTGTACAGTGAGCTACCTGTATAAGGAATTGTCATATGAAATCTGACTAGATTCGAAGATTCCTGTCTTTCATGTTTGTGTTTATGAAGTTCCCCTCCAGAGTTGCCTCCGGCAAACAAAGGGTATAATTTGAGGAATGGCTCCTAATTTTTTTATTAACTTATAATTACGTCCTTGTAGTGAACCATGACAAATGCTTGACATTTCTATGAAGTTCCAGCTTCGATCAATAAATTCTGCTATTCCTATGCCTATGAACTTGACCGTCCTTTCTTTCCTGCAGTTTTAAATAAATCGGTCTCCGCCTCTCTCGCTTTTAATTTCTCCTTCCTTTTTTCCTAATTCAGATCTTGATAGATTTCGTTTATCGGCGCCTTCTGTTGCTATAATATTTTACCAATTGACTATAGTAATCGATTATGATAAATTGGTAACTCATCCCTATAATCATCAACTGCAATAACCAAAAAGGACTATAAGTGAAGATAAAAAGGAACAATAATAGTGCTGAATACTTAATCGTCTTGCTATTTCCAGTATCGTCGAATTTATTCGTTGCATCCTTCCCTGCTGATTCCAACAACACCTCTTCTCCCCGTGGATCGTTTAGGATATGATCGGTCAGTTTGTGTGAAAAAGAAAGTAGGGTTACTCTGCCGCGGATAACAAGCTGATGATCGTTCGTGGATTTATGTTGAGCGACTTTTGGGAGGGTGAAAACTGTGGGTTCGGCCATTGTTGTGAGAAAAGACTTGACACAATACAGGTGAAGAGTGAAAGACCTACAAAAGGATTCCTTACTTGTCTATCTTAATAGTTGGTAGTGGGTTAAGTGAGTTGAAGGGGACCGAGACTAGAAGGTAGAAATTTAACAAAAGATGAGAACCTGGAAAGATAGGTTGGTAAGCCACTCACTCTCCTGACGTTCCCTGGAACAGGGTTACAAAACAAGCGCAAGTAAGCTTTTAAACTTTGTAATTTCTCACCTCAATCTCTTGTAACTAGAGATGAGACGAAATAGTTCGCGAGTTATTCAAGATCGATTCGGTTAAAGCTCGGTTGACTCTCGAATCGAATAGACTTGAGCTCGAACTCGACTTGAATTCTTAACGAGTCGAAGTGAGCTACTTAATAGCCGACCCGAAAAGCTCACGAGCACATCGAAAAAAATAAAATATTAAAATTTTAGATTTTTTAAACTAAATTATTATTAATATTAACATTTATATGTTATTCTTTTTAATATATATATATATATATATATATATATATAATGTAAAACTTTCATGCACTTAAGATTTAAGTTTGAGCTCGAATTTAAGTTTCAATTGAGCTAAGTCTGAGAATATTTCGAGTTCAAGTATTTTCGAGCTCGAGCTAAGCTCCAATTTTTTTTATTTCGATTCGAACTTACAAAATTTAAGCTCAGGAACTTTCGATTCGAAGCAAACTTTAATTTTTAATTTTAAGTTCGAGTCGAGTTTGATAATTTTTTATTTGAACATTAAAATGGGTAAGAAAGTGTAAGAGAATTTAAATTGATATAGACAACTTATAACGATTTGATATAAAAATCACATTAAAAATGTGTATGTAGTGACATTTTCTGAAAATTTTAGTAAAAGTTCAAAGTTTTATCATGTTGGTTAATTTTAATAAAAGGGTAAAGTGTATAAATAGTTCGGTGTTGATTTGTTGATTCTTTTTACTATTAAAAATTATAAAATGATCATTTGATTATAGAGCGTTGTTTTGTTGAGTCTCTCGGTTATTAAAATTACAAAATGGTCACTCGATTATTCATATTTTCCGAACTCGTTATTTTCCGTTAAAAAAAATTAGCGATCGTCTGTGCTGGACGTTAACTTGCTGACTGAGATAATGATAAAATTATATTTGAATGATGTCTATTGTGATCGTTGTTTCTTTCAAACACTCACGTGACGACATAATGTTTCAAACACTAGCTTGACGATACAATGTAAATAGAGACTTGATCTATAAAACACAACTCAAACAGTTATGGGATAAGATTTTATCATATTTCAGTGAGCATGTTAACGTCCGGCTCAGACGACTACCAATTTTTTACCAGAAAAGGACGAGCTTGGAACATATGAATAGTCTGATTACTATATTGTAACTTTTAATAGTTAATGGGCTCAATAAAACAATATCTTATAGTCGAGATATTATTTTATAGTTTTCAATAGTCGGAAGACTTATTAAAGTAGCACCATATAGTTGGATGATCATTTGTATATTTTATCCTTAATAAAGTAGCGTCATATATGTATGGGATAAGATCTTGTTATACAATGTAAAACTTTTTTAATTTTACACATATTTAAGACCGTTAAATGAGTGAATTTAGAGAGTCGTAAATCAAGTAAGAAAGCGAAGCTGTTAAGTGTGCGTCTTGCATAATCTAATAGCGGTTAGTGTTGGAAAGGATTTGTACTTCTAATTTATTCTCGTAATAATTATGTTTGTTTTATTAATATTGATATCAATTATTTTATCTTTTTTGTGATTTTTAAATATTTAAAATAATAAATACATTTATAAATTACAAAATATTGAAAATATAAAAATATAAATAAATATATTAAAATTTGTAAATTTATAAGAACTATTAAAAATTGTAAAAACCAAAAAATTAACGTCAACTTAATAAATTTGTTATTTTTTAGTTTGACATTGTTTTCAAAAAGTGATGTAGAAAATTACTTTTGGAAAATACTTTTAAGAAGTGGATAATTATTTTAACATGATATTATAAATTAAAAAAAATATACATTTAAATGATCTTTTAAAAAATTGAGGGTAAAATATGTTTTTTTTTAATTTGAGGATAAAAAAATCATGAGACCAAATATATATGAAGATAAAACTTATGATATTTATGCATAGTAAAACTCCATAAAGGCCAACATCATCAGATTATATAAGGAGTTTTATAAACCCACAAACACTGCAAAGCAACACATAGTTTAGCTTATGTCCACCAAGTGAACAAGTCTTTCTAAAGCAAACATGTTTATTCAAACTGGTTCAACCATTTTTTCCGATATTACATTTCTGCAAAGGCCTCCATCTCCGACCCGCTCCGTTCGCTCCTATGGAGTAAACAGTCTTTTTTGCTTTGCGAATCAGTTTACGACATATTGGACACATCTTGTTATCTTCCTCCATGACCCTGCAGATTTTATCTGTCAGTGAAAAGGTTTTACAAGAGTATGTAGTGGAGAAGAAGGTTTTCTTTTTCTTTAAGTTTGTACCTTTTAGCACACTCAAAGCATGTGGCAGAGTGTCCACATGGAATGAAGAAGCAGTTGCGTTCATCATCATAGCATATAATGCATAATTTCGCATCGTTTAAGTCCACCGAAGAGTTTCTCGATGATCCAGTTCCATCATCATTGTCTTCCTCTGCACTCGATTCGTTGGTATGCTAAGCTGGCTTCTTCGGCAAAATAGGGACGGTCGGCGTTCCTCAGTCGAACTCGGTATCGCACGACTCTTGGGATTTCACCAACAGCAACATGATAATGATGAAAATTCCTACAGATGACAGAACTATTAGCCCATCATAGCAGTTTAAAACTTAATCCGCAGGTCTTTAATATGTATACGGTACCTAAAAGAGCAATGTACGAGATATCTCGGTTATCGAAAGACAGCTCGACGTAACGTCCATCAATATCACTCTGAAAAAAGTTAGAATCTGAGTCGATATCTAACCGATAAAGTTAAACTGAATTATTAAAAGTGTTTAGACTTTACATTATCAGCTGTTGAAACTACAACATAATGTGTGTTGGGAAACTGAAGATCGAGATAGCATGATCCATTTAGTGCTGAACACACACTTGTGGCTTTTGATACATCATAAACCATGGCTGTAACAGTTAAGTTAAATGTCATCGTTATGCTTCTGGGGTTCGAGTTAGTCACACCTACATAGTAATGGCCATCTTCATCAATGGTGTACTCAGCTTCTTTACCTGAAATAAAAACTATTGAATAAACAACAGATAGTTTCCCTGAAAGAAAAAAAAAGGTAAAGGGATGGATTTTACCAGTCATTTGTTCATTCAAGAAAAGGGCATAGAAGGGAAACGTCAGTTCGGGCAGCAATGAGTCTTCTCCTATTCTTTCTACAAAAACACGAACTAATTCTGTAAGTTCTTCCAATCCACATTCCAGAGGGACTAAACCGGATAGAAGATTGTTGGTGGGAACGAATAAGATGCCTAGTTCGTTCACAGTTTCTCTTTTGATTTAGGTAGAGTCGAAGTTAGTATAACCATCAATGGGTCCAATTAAAAAATAAAGGTTCAAAAATTTTAATACTCATTTTTTTAACAAAATGGGTAGCAACAATTTTTATTTTTTCTTTTACCCTTAATATATTAAACTACATTTAATAATTTCTCCACCCCTAGGTGTAAAAACGACTGTTTAACTCGTGAATTTTTGTGAGAGATAGGAGGAAAAAAATAACGTGAGAGAAAAAATTCTTCTAAATTGAAGATCAAAGAGTTTGAGAGAGAGATCTTCTTTCAGATTTTCTGATTGGTTTTTATGTGTTAATCTTTCGCCGTTGGTGCAGTAGCGGATCCAGAAATTTATAAATAAGGTCTAAAATTTTAATTTTATTTTCTTAAAAATAATGGGGGTGCAAAAAAAATTTCTTCTATTTTTATTTAACATATTATACTAAATTTTATTTTTTTCCTAAATAATGAGGATGCACTTGATCCTTATGTACTTAGCTCTGTCAACGTTAAAAATCGAAGAGTATGACTTTGAAAATCGATCTGTGATTTTAGAGTTAGTGTGGTATCTCTAAAAGTTTTTTATTGACGAGGATTTGATAGGTTTTCGAAGGTATAATAAAGTTAAGATTAAGACAACTTTACCTTTAATCAAAAGGATTTCGATTTTGTCTGATCTACTGGTTTGAGTGGCCCATCTCATGCAGATCTTAGAACCCTTGTTTAACCACAAAGAGTATCCCTGAAATCCAATTTCAAATCTTATCTACACAGGCTTCAACCTCACGAAAACTCAAACCAGACATCTAATGTTACATACATACCTTCCGGTCATATGATCCAACAATCAAATAGCTTGAAGAGCTCCAATTTGCTTCCTTGTTCCGGCTCCTCTGAAAACCCATAAACAAGAGTCCTTGTACCATTTTCATCTCTTACTTTAACCTGTTCTGCAAAAACAGCACTGGCCTGCATCAATCGAGAAGAGTTCGGTCCAAGCATCAGATGGTGATCCCCATAGCACTCTAATCGGAGGATCACCGTCGCTGCAAAACCAGAAAAAAACAAAACAACTGAAGGGTCAATGGAACATAAAATTATTCACAAGGAAAAAACAGAGTGAAAGGATGACATGCCACATAACCAAAAGGACAGAGGAGGTAGGAATCGTGACCAAGTGCCCCGCCACCGAGGGAGTTGATCAGGGTGGGTGAAGGGTATCATGTCATGCCTGAACATGCTGGATGGGATTTGGAAAACAGAGAGAAATGCAGTGAAGATGGATGGAAAGGTAGGAGAAGATAGTGGCTTTTATGGATGCGAAGAAGTAACGGTTACGTTTGTGATTGGCGGGAGAATTAGTGACGAGTATTGTTGAACGTGACAAAGCTAAAAGCTGCTCTTTTTTCAATGTCGGCGGTTTCACGCACCCATTTACCATTGGCGTCGCCAGCAGCCGAAGGAATTCCGGGGTGAAACCAGTATAAACGAGGAAGGCATGAAGATAGCAGAATCACTCAAAAATTGGGGATTACAAAGTAATATTGATATGAAATATTTTCACTTACTTAACAATAAATGGTAAAAAACCTCTAAAGACGACGTACTCAAATTCAAAACATCTAGAGGTAAGGATTATCAATTTAATTGTTAAAGTCATTTGATTCATATTAAAAAAATAGTTTTGATAAATATATATGAGGTATGATCTCCTTACATAGTATAAATCTTTTTAATTTTACACAATTTTTAGTTTTATACGGATTTAACATTGCTAATGTGTGTAAATAAATTGTTGAAATTAACAGTAGAAAATAAAAAAAAATATTCACTAAAAAAGACAATTTAATCTCAACATTTTATTTTCACTTATCTAATAATCTTAAATCTATATAAAACTAAAAAGTTTTACATTATGTAAGTATATATAAACTCTATTAATACATATTTATTTTTTCAAAAATTATGAGAATAAAAACTTGAAATTATTAATTTCAATTATCTGTTATAATGGCAAAACTTAAATTTTATTATTTTCTATTATCTATTATAATGGCATGAATTATATACTAGTATGTTGCTAGCTTAGCGGTGCTTGATTCATCATTCTTTATTTAAAGTCTCTAAGAAAAAATATATATATATATGAGCGCGCGCGCAGCTCTTGGAGAATATATGTTATTTACTTTATATTTTATTTATTGATATCAAATATCTGAATTACATGCAATTTTTAGATCTTTAAAGAAAGAGGATATACTTCTAGAGTCTCGAAAGATATTTTTGTGGATAGTTTTGTTGTGCGACATCTTAATTTAAGATTAAAAAATGATGATTTTAGGATGCAACAAAAAATATGATAAAAATTATAATATTTTAGGTTGAGCGCAACATAAAATATTATATTTTTACTAATATTTTTTATTAAACCTAACGAAAATATAATATTTATGTTACACTCAACTTAAAATATAATAATTTTTATTACATTTTTAATTGTAACCTAAAATTATCAATTTTTAACCTTAAATTAAGCTGTCACTCTTTAAATTTCCTCAGCACTTGTTTATTTTTTACTTTATTATTTTATTTGACATGGACGTTGAATGTTGACTCACATGTAACTTTCACTTCTTTAAGAGACAAAAAAGACATTTCTCGATTTTTGGAGGACACGTGTTATACATCTCATGCTTTATTTGAAGTTGATATTAAATGTTTGACTTACATGAAGATTTCAGATATTTAAGGAAATAAGATCCACACTTCAATTCTAAGAGATACGTGTTACCTTTTTCAGAGGCGGACCCAGGAGCTTTGGGGTTGCAAGAGCCCCAGGCGTGGTATTTGAATTAGGGGTGACATTTGTGGAGGGGTTGCTTGGGATACCTCGGGCACTATGGAGGTCCACCCCTAGAAGAAGGGTTGCCTGGGATACCCCGGATTCCATGGAGGTCCGCCCCTGACCTTTTTCATATTTGTTCGAAATTATCATTGGTGCTTGACTCACATTCGATCTTCAAGTTTTTAAGGAAATAAGATACACTTATCATTTTCAGGGTGACACGTACTGTCTACTCCATACTTATTTGAAGTTAACATTAAGTGATTATCTCACATGCAACCTTCAAATCTTTAAGAAAAGAAGAAGATATGCTCCTTGATTTTTGAGGGAATTTGTGTAATCTATTCCACACTTATTTAAAGCTAGTGTTGAGTTCTTGACTCACAAGTTGTTGGAGAGCACGTGTTGTGCATTCCATTTTTTATTACATTATTTGAAGTTGGCATTGAATGTTTGACTCACATGCGACTTTCAGATCTTTAAGGAAAGAAGATACACTCTTCAATTATTGGGGATACGTCTTGCTTATTTCATATTTGTTCAAAAGTTATCATTGAGTGCTTGATTCGCACACGACCTTTAGGTTTTTAAGGAAAGTAGATACACTTCTCGATTTTCGGAGTGACATGTTTTGTCTATTCCATATTTATTTGAAATAACATTAAGTGCTTGTCTCATATGGGACCTTCAAATCATTAAGAAAAGAAGATATGTTCCTCGATTTTTGAGGGAATACATATTGTATGTTCCACACTTATTTGAAGTTACTATTGAGTGTTTGACTTACGTGAAACCTTCACGTCTTTAAGGGGAAAAAGACATTTTTCGATTCATGGAGAGCACGTGTTATGCATTCCATACTTTATTACTTTATTTGAAGTTGGCATTGAATGTGTGACTCACCTGCGACTTTCAGGTCTTTCAAGAAAAAAGATACACTCATCTATTCTCGGAGGATACAAGTTGTCTATTTCATGCTTATTTTAATCTAGTATTGAGTGCTTGATTCGCACATGACCTTCACGTTTTTAAGGAAATAATATACACTTCTCGATTTTCATAGCGACACGTGTTGTCTATTCCATATTTATTTAAAATTAACATTAAATGCTTATCTCATATACGACCTTTAGGTCTTTAAGAAAAGATTCTTTGATTTTTTAGGTAATACATATTGTCTATTTCACACTTATTCGAAGTTAGTATTGAGTGCTTGACTCACGGGTAACCTTCACATCTTTAAGAAAAAAAAGACATTTCTCGATTCACGGAGAGCACGTGTCGTGCATTCTATACTTTATTACTTTATTTGAAGTTGGCATTGAATGTGCGGCTCACATGCGACTTTCAAGAAAAAAAAGATATAATCCTAAATTCGCATGTGACCCTCATATTTTTAAGGAAAGAATATATAATTTTTTATTTTTGAGACGATACATGTTGTATGTTTCATACTTATTTGAAGTTAGCTTTAAGTGCCTGACTCATATGAGATCTACATGTCTTTAAGGAAAGAAGATACACTCCTTGATTTTCACAGAGATAAGTGTTATCTATTCCACACTTATTCGAAGCCAGTATTGAGTGCTTGACTTAGTGCAACCTTCAGGTCCCTAAAGAAAGACGATATGTAACACCCTCAACTTGATCTAGAAGAAAACCGAATTGAAGATAAAAAATCAGATTCACACAATCATATATTGGCAATGCTTTGACATACAATCATCTATATTGCATACAAATGGGTTATCATCAATCATCAATCATTTTCAAGATAATATCTTGATTTCGAACCAAATTGAAATTTTTCAAAAGTATTGAAATTAAAGTATAATTATTCAAAAGTTAAAGGATTAACTTAAAATCATTTAAATTCAACTTATTAGTACTAGTTAACCAATTTAATCACTAATCAAGCTAATGTATTCCTGAAAGCTCATGGAGGTCATTTTAATAATTGTTAAACATCATTGAAGATTAAAAAATATTTATAATGTACACTTTATAAATATAACTATTCAAATTTAAAATCTCTAAAGAAAATAATCACTCCTTAATCAATACACTGCTTGTTTCGCAAGGCTTCATTCATGATTCTATGTGTAATCAAATTGTTGACGTTAAATGTCGGACTTACAACACAACTTTCACGTTTTTAAGGAAAAAATATTTGTTGAGTTAATCGATCGACGGAATCAGCCAAGAGGGGGTGAATTGGCAATTAAAATTTTGGTGGAAGCTTTTGCAGAAAATTGAAAGAAATTGCACAGCGATTTAGAGTGGTTCGACTTTCTCAACCAAAGTCTACGTCCACTACCTTAGCTATCCACACTAAGGATTTTCCAACAAATTCACTAATTTGTTCTTTCTTTTGAGGCCAAAGAGATAACCTTACAACTCTCTCAAGAATATACCACAATTCTTGAGAACACTCTTTTCTCAAAGAGAAGATTACAAATTTGCAAACTTACAAGAAAACCTCACAAGGTAAGATGTTTGCACAATTCTAGAACAAAGAAAAGAACACTCAAAGATGAATACAATTGAGCACAAAAAGTGTTCTTGAAAGCAAAATAAATATTGAATGAAAATAGGCTTGAAATGCTCAAACTTGAGGTTTGATGCTTTCTCTTTGATTCTCTCTTGATTCTAGTTGCTTGATGTTTCTTATTTTTGATCAATGGCTACTAAGCTTGTTTAAATACACCTTGAATCACTTCTGAACGTTGGGGATCATTAATGAAGATAATATAGTCGTTTAAGTGTGAAAACAATTAATTTTTCTGGGTGGAGGGTCTCATGCATCGATGCATGATCAAGGATGCATCGGTGCATCCGTGTAAAATTCAAATATTTTGACCGTTGGGACACTTAGTGCATCGGTGCACTAAGGATGCATCGATGCATAAAATGCATTCGATGTTTGAAAAATAGCCTGGTGCATCGATGCATGGAGAATGCATCGGTGCATGAAATGCATTCGATGTTCAATTAAATCATAGGTGCATCGATGCATGGACTGATGCATCGGTGCATGCCTTTGAAAAATTGATTTAAGGCTTGATTTTGGTTCAAAATACTTTGTG